GCTGAAATCCTGGCTCCGGCACTTAATTGCATGACATTGTGCACATGAGTGAACCTTCCGTGCCTCAGTTTCCCCTTTGTTAATGGGCCGATCATGATAGTAGCTGCCTCGAGAATTGGTCTAAGGCCTGCATTAATGACATGAATTAACATTTGTAAAGCGTTGACAACAGTGCCTGGGATATAGGTACATTATAAGTGCTTGATCCATAAAAAGTGGGACTGGAACTGAAGGGCTGCCAACTCAGGGTCACACCTTTTGTGTGAAAGAAGGAGAGGGGGACCCTAGGCAAGCCCTCCCGGGGGAACCTCGGTGGTTCCCTGAACCAGGCTGGCTGCCTGGTGGGCCTGCACACAGCCTCCAAGCTCCATCTCAGACCACTGAAGTCCAGTTTCTGTGGACAGGACCTAGGAATGACCTTTTACATGTCCTCAGGAGATGTGGATGTCTACACACTAGCTATGGAACTCACTGGTAGCATCGATTTGTCTTTTCTGCCTGTGTTTAATTTTCGCTTTGGTCTGTGGAGAGTGAGTGTGCATATGCATGTGAGATAATCCTTTGTCATCCGCCTGCTCTGACAGAGTTATGGCAACGGCTGGTTTGGATGTGGGCTTTTGTGCCGAAGCTCACGCCATTGTCAGGCCAGTGAATAAAGCTCATTATTTGTTTCTGTGCCACAGTGAAGATGTAGAGCTTTCTTGCTCTGTCCCTCTCCTTCTGTCTCTCTCAGAATGTGGGGACCAGGTGGGAAGGAACACCCTGTTCTCACCATTTCCTACACCCCTTTCTGAGTCAGGTAGAAATATTTGAGGGCCAGCAGTCCTGACAATCACTGTTCTCGTAGGTCAGAGAGGGAAGCAGAAAGACAAGGCCTGAGCTCCATGTGAGGGGAGCAGGAGAGCTTCTGAGACATGGAGACAGAGGCCCCTCCTCAGAGCCCTCCAACCTCCTGGCACGTCCAAGGGGATGGTCAAGTCGAATAATTTAGAATCGCATCTCTAGTAGGCTCCCTGTGAATCTCCACTCCCCGCCCTCCTCAGACCCTGGATAGGTAGCTCAAAACACAGCTGTCCGACCTTCCCTGATTGTTATGGCGAATGGGCCAATTTCCAGTTACATAACCTCTTCTCCAGTAGATGAAATCTCATTACTCCACTGTGTGGTGCCCATCAGGTCCTGGTTCATGCTGAGCTACCAAGAGAAGCTGGAAACGTGCTGGTTTTCATCATTTTCACCCAGCAAGAGAATCAGAGAGAAAGAGCTACACCCAAGCCAATTACGGTGGGGTCCTCAGGGCTGTTATGTAACCTCCCAGAGACAGTGGAGGGAAGCAGACCTCACCGTTCTAATACGTGCACCGCATCTTATTTCTAATAGGGAGGATGGGTAATAAGAAGCTAGAAATGGATAATTTCACCATAAAAGAGGTATGGTTAAAAAGATGTGGAAATTTGGATTCATAAATGTCTTAGCATCGTACTCAAGGCTCTTCACAGTCTGACTCCAAACCTTCTTTCCAGACTTGTTTTCTGAGACTTGTGTTCTGTGGATTTTCCCATGTGCCATGGGTCCCATCCCTGCCAGGGACCTGACATACTTGGCACCATACACGCTCAGGATTTTACGCCTTTGCTCCTGCTGTTTCTCTAGCCCAGAAAGCCCCTCCCAGCTGGCTTTAAGGGATGGCCTGATTAGTCACGCACAGTCAGGTGAGTCAGAGCACTTCTACTCAGAATGTGGTCCTTCGACCAGCAGCATGGCATCATCTGGGAGCTTGTTAGAAAGGTGACTCTCAGGCTTACCTGAACTGAGAATCAGAGTCTGCATCTGGCCCAGATCCCCAGGTGATTTCTATGCACCTGAAAGCCTGAGAAGCAGCAGATGTTGCATGAGCTATTGGGTTGTTGGGAAAGTCATGACGTATTTTGTCTGTTTTTCAAAGGTCATTTATTTATATAAAGAACAAAGATCAATCAATGATATACTGCCCGTTTTGTTCGATAACCTTTTGCCATCTTTCAATGAGCTTCATAATTCCTCATTCATAGAAGGACCTGTTTTTATTTGTGAAAAACTGAACAAGGTGCTGATTTACAGCCTCATTTGAATTGAACATTATACCATGCAAGGAGTTTTGAAGAGAGTGAGACAAGTGGAAGTCTGATGGTGCAAGGTCAGGCGAGTATGGTGGGTGTGGCAACCCAACCCAACCAAGCTCCAATAATTTTTGACGGGTGATCAAACTTGTGTGTGGTCTCTCATTGTCGCGATAGAACACAACTCCTTTACAATTAACAAGCTCTGGACGTTTCTGGATGATGGATTTGTTCAAACTGTCCAATTGCTGACAGTACACATTCGAATTGATTGTTTGGTTCCTCGGTAGGAGCTTGAAAAACACACCTTTAAAATCCCACCACACTGAGAGCATAACCTTCCTCTGATGAATGTCTGCTTTCGATGTTGTTTGAGGCGAATCATCATGTTGGGACCAAGACCATTTGCACACCACATTGTTGTAAACAGTCCACTTCGTATCACCAGTTACCAGTTCCTTCAAAAAAGGATCATTTTCCTTACATTTAATGACCATATTGCAGATGTTTATATGTGCTGTCCAATGAACTTTGAGTTCATGTGGAACCCAAATATCAAACTTGCTTACATATCCCAGCTTCTTCAGGTGGTTGTGAACACTTGAATGATGGATGTTCAATGTTTCTGCAATCTCTCATGTTGTGTAACATGGGTTTGACTTGATCAATGCCTTTATTTTGTCGTCATCAACCTCGGTGGGCCTCCCTGATTGAGGAGCGTCATTGAGATAAAAATCACCAGCATGGAATTTCGTGAACCATTGTTGGCACTGACATTCTTGCAGAGCATTGTCACCATAAACTTTATGCAACTTTTCACAAGCTTGACGCGTGTTCTTCCCTTTATGGAAGTAAAACAGTAAAATATGGCGAAAATGCACAGTTTGGTCTCCCATCTTCAACTTGTTGTAAAATCTCCAAAACTCAACAAAATCGCTCAATTTTTTTTTAGAATGAAGCTAGAACTGTCAGCTGTCAAATGACATAGCAATAACATAGATGTGACTGACTCTAGTACTTCCAAAAATGAACTAGTGCCATCTGTTGCAAACATGCGTCATGACTTTTCCGACAACCCAATACATAAGCAGGGCTTGTGGCTTGAGCAGTACAGCTTGCCCCCTCACCCGGTATTCCCAGAATAATGTGCAGCAGCTTGGTTTTTAGTTAGCTGCAAACTGCATGTGTTCTTAGTGCTTAAGTGATGAGGATGAGGGGGACTAACAAAATGGTTAAGCGAACAGGCTTTTGCACCATACAGCCAGAGGTTCAAATCTCAGCTCTACCACGCATTATATAGTGTGGGGCTTTAATAAAGACACTTAACCTTTGTCAGCCTCAGTTCTCCAAGATGTGATGTATTAATGAGATCACAACGTAGAGATAAGGATAATATGAGATCAGATGTGTACATTGTTTAACAGATGTTCACTGTGTTTGTTATTTTGCAAACACGTGAAGCAAAGTCAGTGGGCAAGAAGCAAGGAGCCCTTGTGTGGGAAGGTCTTGGCCATTTAACCAGTGGTGGGAAGGTCAGGTCTTTGGTGACATGGCAGGAGCTCAAGGGCCTCAAAGTGGCAAATTGGGGCAAACAAAGGCACATCCAAGAGCAGTTTAGTCTACCTGGCTGAGCAGATGCCCTTCCAACAGAACAAGGCCTGCAGGCATTCTCCCAGAGGTAGGATGTATCCAGGTGGGCTCCCTGCAGGTTGGGTTGCAGGGACGGTGACTCCTCCTCTTTTTTTTTTTTTTTTAAAGATTTTTATTGGGGAACTGGGGGGATGGGAACAGTGCTGGGGAATTGGGGGAAGGGGAACAGACAAGTTGCTGTTCTTTTGTTCCTCAGTCTAGTTGTGGAGGACGTTGCTTCACTGGCCCAAGTTGGCACCATCATTGCGTTCTTCCCGGGCGAGGCACATCAGTCGCTGGCTTCTGGACGGCCGCTCACTGCGGCTGCTGGCCGCTCACGCTGGCTGCTGGCTACACACAGTAGCCCA